TATATTATATACACTTTTTTTATTTACATTTTTTACAAGTGTTACACATCATAATTTTATATCTTACAGTGCCCTGAAGATGGTAATAAAAATTACCGAAACGTCGGCAAGTTAAAAAAAGTAGTTTTTCTCAAAATAAGGACCCTTACCCAAAAAAATTTTCCAACAACTAAATATTATTTCTTTTTAATGAAATTTAATTGGAGTGTTGTTTTATTTCATCTTTATCTTGTAATATGTTTGAGTTTGTAGATTATTATTTTCATTTTCCATGACGTTAGTTTTTATTGCCATAATTACTACTGTTACGTGCTTGCTATCCACACAAACACCTCTACTCGTAGATTCGTTGATTGAAAGTCCAGGTAACACTTATACACTACTTTATTTACTAATTAACAATTAATAACAATAGATTAATTAATGTCTTAACTATAATCACAACTGAACACTTATAAGTCTCTTTCTTATTTCTACTTTACTCGTTCACGTTCGCCTTAAGATTAAATCTCGGCCCACCGTGCGTCTTATTTATACATGCATTCTCCCAGTCTAGAGCACTCCAGAATATTCCCGGCCGTTCGTGAACAATTCCAGCCTAATCTAACCAGTCTGCACAGTCCAGTGGCGTAACACTACTATATTACACTATTTTACAATACTTTATAGATATTATAAATTATTGTATATAATTGAGGAATGCCATATTAATCATTTAGTTTAAATCTACAGATTAAAAACATTTCGTTTATTCGTTAATATTTTTGTTTTTATACAGTATGTCTACGTAATAATCACACATTTTAAACACAGCAATCCTAATTAGAATTTCCAAAGAAATTCAGTGAATTCACGATTTATTTTTGATTAACAAGATATTTTCTGTATTCGATAGTCGATTGTTTCTTTTCAAGGCATAATTAGTTTATTTTATTGCATAATTAGATGGTGTTTTTGCCAACTTCTGTCTCCTACTTAGTGAAATAAATACCGTTTGAAATTTTTTAATGAAATTCGGTGCAAATGCATTTTGAGGGGTGCTGGTATCAGATTTTGGAAAAAGTCGCTAATATGGTTTCTCGACTTTTAAGGGTATAAAAAACCGTAGTAGTCCGTCCGTGTGTACGTAGATATAGCAATCTGGTCAAGGACGCATCCTAGTGATCCCATTTGAACGTTTTAGATATTATTTGTTAAACAGAACACAGTGTGTCTCTGTAAATAATCTCAATTCAAGCTATATTAACATTAATGATGGAGTTCCTCAAGTACCTGTGTTAGGACCACTCCTTTTTTTAATATTCATTAATAACTTTCCAAATCGTTTGATCAATGAAGACAATATTTTGTTTGGGGGTGATACATCTTGTTACGTTCTGATAAAAATTCTCTAAATACTGCTTTGGTTGAGAATACTGTTGAAACATGGTTCTCTATTAATAAGTTATGTTTAAATAGAGAGAAAAATTATATCATCAAATCACAATGTTGCACAAAGTGGTAAATTGTTAGATACTAATGTTGACTTATCAAAAATTCTCTCAACTTGTTTGAAACTTGGTAACAAAGAGTACAACTTTGAGTGCGGCTCACGGTTAAACTAAAAGACAAAGTACCTCTCATCTGTACTCTTGAAAAGGGCCTAAAAAGCCGAAACTCGTGTAGAGTGAAAATATAATTCTGAAACATTTAAAAGCAAATTTTCTTTGTTTATTTAAAATATAAAAAACAAATATACATATACCACCGTGGACTTTTTTTTTTTTTTGGGAAATTTTGTCCTCTACAAATTTGATCCTATAGAATTTTAACGAATCTGTTATACGGTTCTCTCAGCATTTTGGGTGGTGTCGACGCACCTTTCTTAAAAATGTTTTTAATTTTTTTGCATACTTGCCCTGTCGGTCGAATCTGAAACTTTGGATCATTATACTCAATTTTTAATTCTGAACAACTTCCAAATATTTTCACCCATTACCTACTTATTGTCAACTTTTCACCTCATTTACTTGGACTATTAGGAATTATAGAAAACACAAAATAACAGTTGAACGAATTTCAAAACAAAACCACAAATACATTAATTTACTGTTTGACCAAATTTACGCTAAATCATCGAAAGTGGTCGTAAATAAGTCGCTTATGCGTATACACGCACAACTGGTCTGCCGACAATTGAAACGAATAAAATTATTTTGACTCTTTAAAAAGAAGGTTGCAAACCGGCCCGACTATAGCAATGTACTGCCACACAACAGCGCTCTAGCCATCTGTGCTACCTTCTCAGTATTTAAAACGCTACTATACATCCACGCTCCAGCAAAGATTCGAACCCGGGACCCTTTGGTCTCAAGCCTAACGTACAAGTATTGAGCCACGGAGCCGACTTCTTAGAACTTCTGATTTAAAAATTGTAAAGATTTCTTCCACATTCAGCTTTCTTAATTTTTTTTATTTCCTTATTTGTACACATTTCTAACGCACAACGAAACATTATTAGAATTAATTACCCTAAACCCTTTACATTTACAAAGTTACCACCCAGTAGGAACATTCTCAAAATACTAGGCCGACAGACACAAACCCGATCGATTTTCCGTCCAGACCTCAGCCAGGCTCTACTACGCACTTTAGTCGCCTCGCCGCCTCGAGGGGCGGTTAGCAGACAGGGGTTTACCTCGGCATCGTCGTCTCCATTCAGAAATCTCCTACCGACGCCTAATCAACACCTACAATAGAGAAGATTACGCTCACGGCCAAAAAAGTTAGCTATAATCTCGACGGGAGTTCACCTCGCATATTTATGTGAGCAGAGGGGAGCATGCATTTATTTCAGAAATGATGATCGACGCGGACTTTTTCTCATTTGTAAGCCGAAATAAATATGAGATATCGTGTTAGATTTTCAGCGAAGCTCCTATAGAAATCTAGGCATTTTTTTAATAAACATAGCATGTAGATTTTAACAGATATCTAAGTATCCAATGACTATGTCTTTACTTTATTAAAAGCTTCATACATACAAAGTCTAACACACCATTTCTATTGTACATAAAATATCGTGTTAAGTTTAACCCAAATTTTTTTTACTGTATTATTATTATAAAAATTATAATAGATTTACAATTGAAAACTTGACAACTAGTACCATCCGAAATAACGTGACGAGATGATAAAAAATATGTTCGCCTAACATATACAATACCTCAAAAACCAGTCGTTACTTGATACAATTGCAAAAAGGGAAATGCAGATTATACAAAAATTCAGCTAATTTGCAATAGATGATTCTTAAAGGAATTCGACCTGTAAGCAGCTTACTTCAAATACTTGAATTTTTGCTAACAAATTAGATGTTATAATCCAACATCTTAAACTGATGACAATTATTTATCATTAAGCCGGTCCGTTGTAATGAACCTCATCGTGCGAAGGTGAAGGGCGACCGTACGACATACGCTGACAACTACGTATTTCAACAGGGATCACCGCTCAGTATAGTCAGTTTCAGCTTTAATGGCACAAAAAAGTACCCCATCGAACAACTTAAATTTAAAATGTGAAATGGGGGTTGGAAAACACGTAAAAACCAAGTTACGCCCGTTAGACTAGTAAAAATTTGTTAATTCCTATTTTTAATGAATTTTTGAAAGGTGAAAATGGTAAGAAAACATGTAAAAACATGTAACGCCCTTCAGACTAGTAGAAATTTGTTAATTGCTATTTTTAATAAATTTTTGAAATTAGTAAAAAAAATGAATTTGTTTTTCAAAACATCTGCTTGAAATTTACACAATTTATGGTAAATAATGTATCATGTTTGAAAAAAATTGTCTGGCTGACAATTCTTCTTAATTAACATCCGAGAGACCTCTTTTTTTATAAATTATTACTCTTAGTAAAAGTACATTTCATAACACATTTTTTGTTTTTTTTTTTTAATGATGTTTGAGATCTTCTCTATCTATTAAGACTTCCGGCGAAACCGGAAATGAAAAAAAAATCATGTGTACGTCAAAAAGTACTGCTTATTATGTATATAGGATATCCCAAATTTCAATCAATTATCTTCAAAACTAAAGGAGAAAAGGGAGTGTACCATGATCGTGTTACACTCGGTATAAAAGGGATCTTAGACTTTAATTTAGAATTAGAAACAAACATTTTTTTAGTTGGCAGCGGTAATACTACATTTAAAAAAAACGTGGTCGCAGCGCTTAAAAATTAAGTGTGACATATTAAAAAACATTTTTTCGATGACAGATCAATTTTTATGCATAGAGATCTTAAATTTTTTTTAAAAAATGAGATGTCTTACCGTTCACCTGGTAATTTAAAGTTTATTTCAAAATCATTTGCACCATAAAAGCCGTCGGCTTCTTTGATATCTTTACCGCTATCAAAGCATCAGACTTTCTTTATGTCGCAAATAAGTTTGAAATAAACTTATAGTAGTAATACAACAACTACGTAAGTAGGAAAGATGCCAGAGTTAGATCCTCGAGGTACACCATTAAGTGTTTTTACCTGAAACAAGAAAAAACAATATACTACTAGTTACGTATTTAAAAGATTATTTGATTAAATTGTGACAATGAAATACCTCTTCACGTGATAGCAATGCAATGTGCAAAGTGCAATCTATCCAACAAAGTAGCCTATTCAGAAAAGGTACTTTGTCATCGTTTATACGGGTTTTTAAGTTCTAAGTATCAACGGAATCTAGTTAAATGTTATTTGTTATGATCCTAATTAACCATCCATATTATAGTTATCACTGGCTTGCTGGGCAACGACTTATCTGTTCTTTAATATTTCTTAAAAAATGTTTGCTTAACCGCCTTTTATGTCACCGAAGTAACCCCATCAAAAGCCTAAGATGGTGTGGTAGAAAAGAGAGACAGTGCATTACAGTTTATTGTGGAGTCCGAACCACATCTAGAGCATCGACAGTACCTCTCCCATCAGACCGAAACAAATTACAAATTAAATTTATGACTTGCTCCAGGACGGAATCGAACCATCGACCCTTGATACAGAGTAAATAGCTATACGCGCTTTACCCATAACTCAGCTACCATGAGTTATATGTTCCCTAAACCTAGTTTTGATTTGATCATTTCGTTTGCCCAACACTTTTTTATTTTTTTAATTTATATTACAACTAATTTCGTAAATCACCGACTTCTGTCTATTTAAATTTTATCACTTGGACTGTAATTTATTGCTCCAAGATGCATAATTCTCTTACTTACGTATTTGAAATAAACAAATCTTAATTCGAAATTTTGAACGGTTAAACCATTCTTTTAATCTTTAAGAGAGAGGTATTTTTAAATAGTTGCATGATTCTACGTAACAGAAAAGGAAAAGCACAAAGATTACCACGCCGTTCGCGTAACATAGGAAGTGTCTGTTGTAAATCAAAGTTAGAAAAAGGTAAGAAAAAACTCCATTCAATTAAAAGATGTTTTCAACACATATATTTTCGAACTGACATGGAGACTGCACTCTGGTGAAGGGATAGACTATAAACTTAATGGCAACGGTATACAAAGTAACAGATGATTTTTAAAGATGTCAGAGTAATGGTTTGTGAACAAAGAGACTTATTTATATAAATAAGATAAGTAACATGTGTTTCTCTCCGCTTGACAGGCCGAGGTTGCAAAACAAACAACCACTCTAGTTATTTTCAGTTTGAGAATACCTATGAACCATACATTTATTTATAATATATCCAGCAACAGAGATGTATATGGGGGAGCGCGCCCCACCCGAGGTTTTACAAAAAACACAAACAAAAAAATGAAAATATCTGTATGTGCTAGATAAAAAAGAGAAAATTGTCTTATGAACATAACATAAATAATAAAAAAAATATACATATAGGTCCTTATAAGCAAACGACTTACCCTCGAAAAGTCGTTCAGAAAATGAATGACCGACTAATCGCATTCAGCAGGCTAATTTAATTTTTGATTGATAGTTTATTTGAAACTTATTTGCAACATAAAAAAACGTCGTCTCCTTTGATTCCTTTTCAAAGAAGCCGAGAGTTTTTTGTGTTGCAAATAAGTTTGAAATAAACTATACCGGATGTAACAGGATCATGGTACACCCTCCTTTTCTCCTTTAGTTTTGAAGATAATTGATTAAAATTTGGGATATCCTATATACATAATAAGCGGCACTTTTTGACATACGTGATTTTTTTCATTTCCGGTTTCGCAGGAAGTGACACTAACTTTCAATTTTTAAATGGTACACACTGTATATTATTGCATTTTTTGAATTCTGCATAATTTTCTGAATCCAACGATACCAAATAAGTGACTTTTCAAACGTTAATATTTTTTTATAATATAATTTTTAGTTTTCCATTTAAGTGTGCCATGACGGTTCCAATTTATTTTAAATGACCCGTGCAATGCTAGAAAAATTGAAATCCCCTCAAAAATACTAAATTACGTTATTTATGAGCAAATAAAGTTCATCAAAATGGTTTTTGGGGAAAAACTCAATTATTTCAAATGGAACCATATTGGTACCGTGGTACCATTTATTAGTACTATTAATAATAAATTTATTCTTATGTCATATTAAAATGTGTGATTAATACAAACAAAATTACAGCTAAAAGAAAATAAAAAAATACAATTTTGTTCTAATGTTAAGAAATAACTAAGGTGGCTTTGAAAACAATCAAATATTTAGCTTGTCAAACATTTGTTGGTTTACCGGTGTTTTTATTGCGTCTTTAAAAATTGTTTAAATTTCTTGCTAATTGTGTTCAAAATGCCGCAAATTTATACAAGAGATGAAAAAGTGGACATGTTAATTATTTATGGATAATGTAGAAAAAATGCCGTTGCGGCTAGACACCTTTATGCCGAATGATATCCTGATAGACTATGTCCAGCGAGAAATTATTTTAATCGTCTTGAAAATCAATTCCGAAGTGAGCCCAAAAAATGATCCCGAAGAAAATTTCATTCTTGACGAAGAAACGGAAAATAATGTTTTGGCTCGAGTAGACGTTGATAAGACTGTTTCTTTAAGGCAAATTGGGTTTGAATTGGAAATCAGTCACTAAACAGTAAGCAGAATTTTGCACAAATACCACTATAAATCTTTAAAATACCAATTGCACCAGCACTTATACGAAAATGATTACGAACATATGATGGAATATTGCAATTGGATTTTGCAGAATAACGTGAAGCACTCCGTTCCCGGTCTCCAGTGCACTCCGCAACCAGGTAGTGGTAAGAATAATTTTAACAGTTTTACTGATTTTATTTGTATTTCCGTTATTTTACTGTTTGTGTCCGAATTTACCGTTGTATTATTTTGTCCGAAGTGCCTGTTTTCCGAATAAGTGAGAGATATTCAGGAAAGTTCGCGATTCATTAATAAAGTTGGGTTATCCATTCAACGACGACCATCGGAATTATTCGGTTGTCATTTTATTTATTATTGACATAAAGATAGGACTTTTAATCCTCGATCTGTGGAAAGAGTCCCATCTCAGTCGTAGTTGCAATAAAGTACGGGTGAAATCTTTAATCCTCGATCTCTGGAAAGGATTTCACTAGGTTCACGCGAAGTGGCACAAGTGAGGTTTTTAACCCTCGATCTGTGAAAAGAACCTCATTAGCTGGTCCCGGAAGTAATGCATAAACCGTTTCGTCCGATACTCGTGTCCACTATAACTAATTGCTTGAAGCTGATTTGATGACCTATTACTCTAATCTATCACTAACTAACGAAAGTTAACTTCGATAATCTCCAGTCACTCACGCATATCTCTGGTTTAGAAATTTAAGGGACAGTTTACAGTTGAAAGCTTAAGTTAGTAAAACTGAACTTCTGTGCTGTATAGTTAGACAAGTATCGGGAATATTCGGTTATCATTTCTATTTAGTATTGCCGTAAAGATAGAAACCTTTAATCCTTGATCTGTGGAAAGAGCCATCTCAGTTGTAGTTGCAATAAGGTACGGATGAAATCTTTAATCCTCGATCTGTGGAAAGGATTTCATTAGGTTCACGCGAAGTGGCACAAGTGAGGTTTTTAACCCTCGATCTGTGAAAAGAATCTCACTAGCTGGTCCCGGAAGTAATGCATGAACCGTTCCGTCCGCCACACGTAGTCAAGAAATCATAATAAGGGACATTAGGAGCGAGTCTAAAGATGTAGCACGCTCACGATTAGACAGTCAAATATACCGCCTGTTCCTGGACTGACCTCCTGCACCTGTGTCTTGCTTCACTCCGTAACCGCTTACCACTGAAAATACCTGCTGCACCGACCGTCTGCCGTAATACCGCCTTAAGCATTAGTGACTACAGTCATTAACCAATTACCACTTGCTTGCTTTTGTAGATGCTATTAGCAAAACATTTGATAGTAATACCGTAGTAGCAGTTTCAGTAACTTAGCTGTACTTGATATAACTGATCACTGCTTTGCATTACATAACCTCTTGCTTGGTATTCTTTGGTTGCTTACTTGTAATATAGCTTAATACTTACGTTTGCATTATAACAGAACTGTTGTGTATATATATATTTTACTCTCTTGTCAAGCAGTCTTAAATAAATAGAGTAAGTGAAGTTGAACTTGTGCCTTTTATTTAAAGCAACGATATAAGTAAGTAAATCTGCTTATACACTGATGGTCATTTTCGGCAGGTAAGGTGAAGTTGTCCATTGTTACGCAACCGTCAACCACATACACAGACCGCCTGGACATTCCGTTTCTGTATTGAATGGTGTCAAAGTGACACGTTACACACACGTAACAGAAAATTCCACATTTTGTAAGTCACAACACCACTATTCTCAATCAAATCACTTTCTATTGGCTCTATTGATCCCTAAGTTTGAGACACTTATTTGATTGCCAACCGGTGCATGTGTTGAAGTAATGCTGGCAGCAACAGTGGAGGCAATTTGTCGATAAACGGACATTGTTCAACTGCTAAGTGATACAGCAATGACTTTACAGAGGTACGATCTGCTTTCGACTTTTTCTTAGGATCATGTAAAGCAGCCAGGATGATCGTCACTGCTTGTGTAGCTATTGCAATAGGCACCAATATGCATCAGGGCAATCAAACGACAATCTGGCTCCAACATCCTCTTCAATGCATGAAATGCAGATTTTTTGCCAATGCCAAAAGCATCACATCCAGTACGAGTATATACAGCTGGAAGAACAACAGTTAGCATGGGTCTATCCTAATTTATTTACGCAGGCATTCATTGACAGGCAGATCCGTAGAAACTGCATCTGCTAGTTTACTTAATTTCATATGCTACAAGATGGATCGTGGTAATCATGTTGTCTCAATTTTATTTGACCTCTCTAAAGCTTTCGACTCCGTAAATAAAGATATACTTTTTGATAAGTTAGATAGTATTGGATTAAGAGGTAATATTTTAAACTGGTTAATTTCTTATATGAACAACAGAAAATTTATAGTTAAATGCAATGAGGCTGAGTCTGATATACATGATACCATCTTGGGTGTTCCACAGGGGTCCATTCTGGGACCGTTGTTGTTTTCTATATATATAAATGACCTTCTCTGCCACATAAAGGCTTAACAATTATGTATGCTGATGATACTACAGTCACTATATCTGCCTCAAATCGCAATGACTTAGATACATTTGTCGCAAATATTATCGATGACATGAATAATTGGTGCAGCAGAAATAAACTAATATTAAATGGAAAAAAAAACAGTTTTTATAAATTTTAAGCAGATGAAGTCCATATTATTAAATAACATGAAATTAAGCACCTCAACAAAATTTTTGGGTACATATACAGATGATACATTGTCCTGGGAACCACACGGAAATCAGGTATGCAGCAAACTAAACAAGTCCTACTTCGCAATACTGCAATTGAAAGATATTTTGGACGAGGCAGGACTCGTCGATGTCTACTATGCACTGGCATACTCCCACCTGTCTTTTAATATTTGTATTTGGGGAAAATCTAGTCAATTGCATAGAGTATTTATATTGCAAAAAAGGCTCATTAGGTTACTTTTTAACCTAAATTATAGA